CACAGTGGGGGGGGGGAGGTAATGTCTCATGGTGGGGGGGGTTAATGTCTCATGGTGGGTGGTGACGTCACGTGACCATAGTGGGGGGGTTAATGTCTCATGGTGGGTGGTGACGTCACGTGACCATAGTGGGGGGTTAATGTCTCATGGTGGGTGGTGACATCACATGACCATAGTGGGGGGGGGGTAATGTCTCATGGTGGGTGGTGACGTCACGTGACCATAGTGGGGGGGGGTAATGTCTCATGGTGGGTGGTGACGTCACGTGACCATAGTGGGGGGGGGGTAATGTCTCATGGTGGGTGGTGACGTCACGTGACCATAGTGGGGGGGGTAATGTCTCATGGTGGGTGGTGACGTCACGTGACCATAGTGGGGGGGGGTAATGTCTCATGGTGGGTGGTGACGTCACGTGACCATAGTGGGGGGGGTAATGTCTCATGGTGGGTGGTGACGTCACGTGACCATAGTGGGGGGGGGGTAATGTCTCATGGTGGGTGGTGACGTCACGTGACCATAGTGGGGGGGGTAATGTCTCATGGTGGGTGGTGACGTCACATGACCATAGTGGGGGGGGGGTAATGTCTCATGGTGGGTGGTGACGTCACGTGACCATAGTGGGGGGGTAATGTCTCATGGTGGGTGGTGACGTCACGTGACCATAGTGGGGGGGGGTAATGTCTCATGGTGGGTGGTGACGTCACGTGACCATAGTGGGGGGGGGGTAATGTCTCATGGTGGGTGGTGACGTCACATGACCATAGTGGGGGGGGTAATGTCTCATGGTGGGTGGTGACGTCACATGACCCTAGTGGGGGAGGGTAATGTCTCATGGTGGGTGGTGACGTCACATGACCATAGTGGGGGGGGGTAATGTCTCATGGTGGGTGGTGACGTCACATGACCATAGTGGGGGGGGGTAATGTCTCAAAGTCATTATGAGACATTACCCCCATTATCAGTCATGATGATGATGATTCGGTCCGTCTTGGACCATTCTCAAGTTGATTGAAAATGTGATCAACATCGACTTGAGAATGGTTCAGGATGGACCAAAACGTCATTGTCTCTTCACCTTCTAGTGTATGGTCTGGCCACTTCTTTTTCTAAATTTCTCAAACCATCCCCTGCTCGCCTTAAACTCTCTAATTTGCATCACATGTTCTAGGGGTTTTCTTTAAAAGGTCTTCTTGCAATTTCCTTGCTTTTTCACAAATGATGGCCTCTGAAACATTATCACCCGCTAACTCCTTGCTGTGTATCCAAATTAATAATAACTGTTCAACATCCTCAAGTGTTTGTGTTCTATGTTTCGTGATTATTGATACGCCTTTTGCCATTTTAGCACTCATAATGTCCTTTTTCTTAGCAAGTATGGTGGATATCGTTGACCGAGATTTGTTGCACTGCCTAGCTAGTTCAACAACCTGTACACCATCTTCATATTTACAAATGATCTCTTGTTTTTGCTCTATGGTCATCCTTACATGGGTTTTCATATGTTGAACCTTTCCACTGGCTTTCTTGGGACCCATGGCATAATATACAGTATAATAATCAGTTTTATGTTCAAAAAGCAAAAAATCACCACAAAAAGGGAATTTCTTATAGGCATGATCGTCACTAAGTGGGCAGCTCTAGTAAACTGAGGCAGATTGGCCCACATCAGTGGGAACCACGTGCTCGGTTGACCCAAACATGTACCAACAAATATCGTTAGTCGATGACACTATCGTAAGTCGAGTCGCATTTTTCGATCAAATTTACATCGTAAGTTGGGGCAATCGTAAGTCGAGGTGGCACTGTAATTAAATATATACTTAAATACACCTTGGGGAACATACACAGATGTTCAACTACACAAATTTATCAACATTCAAATATGTATATACAACAAACAAGAAGTTTAGTACCTGCACACACAGGCAAGGGGAGGGGGGAATGACAGTAGCAGCGGCTGGCTGATGGAACTATCAGTTAACACACACACACGTGAACAACACATCACGAATATAATATAATACAATACAGTAGCATATACAGTGGGACCTCGACTTACACTTGTAATCCGTTCCTAGAAACGTATCGCAAGTCGAAACATTGTAAGTCGAAACAAATTTTCCCATAAGAAATAATGGGAACTGAATTAATTCGTTCCACACGCCCCAAAAATATTAACTTAAAAATAACTTTTATACTGAATACATTTTTCTCTCTAACTACAATACTGTACAGTACGTAAATTAATCTTACCTCTATTGAAGACTCTTGTTGGCTTATGGAAAATGGTGAGGAAGAGAGGTGTTACTGTTTGGAAGGAGAGGCCCCTTCCATTGTAACATGAGGCAGTGATGATTTGTCTGGGGTACACACTCTCCTACACTTTGCCTGCATACCACTAGGACCTGGTTGTGGTTCACTACTTGGTTTGTCTCATTAAAAATTTGTCCATGGAGATTTGTTTTTCCCTTCGTTTTAATATTTGTCTGTAGTGATGCATCACAGTGTCATTGAAAAGGTTAAGGCAATGCCCTACTGCAGCTTGATTTGGGTGATTTGTTTCAACAAAAGTTTGCAGTTCTTCCCATGCTGTACACATTTTCTTAATTTTTGAGGAAGGGACATTCTGTACTGCCTGCTCCTCCACTGAAGAAATTTCCTCAGCTGCTCCTTGTGAAGGGCTTGGAGTTCTTTGGTGGTCAGTTCTTCGCTGTGTTCCTCCACCAACTCCTCAATATCAGCACCATCCAACTCCAAGCCTAATTGCTGGCCCAGAGAAACAATTTCCTCAACAAGAGGATTTCAGGTTCTGGCTCAAACCCTTCAAAGTCTCATTCTGGAACACATTCAGGCCACAATTCTCTCCAGCCAGAGATCATTGTTCTTAGTCACATTTTGCCAGGCTTTGTCTACGAGTTATAAAGCACTACAAATGTTAAAATGTTTTTTTCCAGAACTCGAGGAGGAGGATGTATGTGGCATCTGTCACTTCGACACATCTCCGGAAAAGTGTCTTTCATAAAGCTTCTTAAAATTGACAATGATTTTCTGGTTCATAGGCTGAAGTAGAGGAATGGTGTTGGGAGGAAAGAACGTTACTGTAACAAAACTAAAGTAGTCCATCAATGAATCCTCCAAGCCTGGAGGATGGGCAGGAGCCTTGTCGAGGAGAATTCGGCCTTGAGTGGCAAACTTTTCTCCTGCAGATACAGTATTTTTTTTATGGAAGGGCGAACCACTTCATTTACCCACTCAGTAAAAAATTGCCTCATCACCCATGCCTTACTATTAGCCCTTCACATCACACACATTTTGCTTTTCTGCACATTATATGTTTGAAAACCCTTGGATTTTCGGAATGATACATAAGCAAGAGTTTAATTTTCAAATCGCCACTCGCATTACCACATAACACAAGAGTAAACCTATCTTTCATAGGCTTGTGTCTGGGCAATGACTTCTCCTTGGTAATGTATGTCTTCTTCAGTAATCTTTTCCAGAATAGCCCTGTCTCGTCACAAACACGTGTTGTGGTAGGAATGTCTCATTCTGCACAAAATCTTTAAATTTGCCAATAAATCTTTCAGCTGCTGGTTTGTCAGAGCTGGCACCCTCCCCATGCCTCACAACTCTATGAATGCCACTTTTTCTAAATTTCTCAAACCATCCTCTGCTCACCTTAAACTCTTTCGCATCTGCATCACTCGTTCCATTTTTTTTTTTTTTTAAGATCTTCATGCAATTTCCTTGCTTTCTCACAAATGATAGCCTTTGAAACGCTATCACCTGCTAACTCCTGCTCGGATTCATAGTCCTGAGGTTCCAGGTTTGATCCCCAGTACCTGGTTACCTGGTTGATGGGGTTCTGGGAGTTGTTCTTCTCCCCGAGCCCAGCTCGTGGCCGGGCTTGACTTGGGAGGGTTTGGTCTGCCAGGCTGTTGCTAGGAATTCAGATTCCAACCTAAATAAAAGTCATTCTTGTACAGAAAAATCTGCTCTATCCAATGGTGTCATTCAAAACCATATTGGGAATGATGCATATTGAGATATTTTGAGATATATTGGCAGTGATATTAGCATGGATTGGTAGCTGAATGGCTACCCAAACTATTTTTTTTTTTATTACACTGCTGTATTCCGCACCAAAAGTTGCCCTGGTATGCCAAATTTCACACCTCTCTGGGCACTAGTCGTGATTTAACAAAGGGTCAAAGTTGGTAATTTATGTGGTATTTACTCATTAATGGGATGAGAGCCCATTCAATATGGATCTGTTATTTAAGAACCAAAGCAGATTGACCTCTAATATTTTTCAGTGTCATTTGGGGTTTAGGGCCATCTTACAACAAAATTTCATGGCATTTGGAGAGGGTCGAGTGGGAGCCATAGGTGACTTTGGTGATTTGAGATGGAATGACCCCTCATTTACAAAAAACCAAAACGGGCCACTACAGGTAAACTACAAGAGGTAGAGACTGTTTACTTGGATTTTCATTATTCCTGGATGCTAATTAACAATATCAAAACAAAAAATACTGTCTTTGGAGCAATTTATTTTTGGCACACCACGAAAATGCCATTGTAAAGAGTGTGCAGTAAAGGGGTTAATTT